CCAACTAAAGCCTCCTTCCCCCCCCCCCCCCCTGCCTTCACCCATCTTCGTAGCTCGGCGCCTGGGCCCCTCCAGCCCGTGAACCCCGATGCATCGCACCGCCTGCATATTCGGTAGCTACGCCACTGTCAACATATTCTGCCCAAGAACGAAATTTGTAAATGGTGATAGCTTACAGAATAAATCGTGACTGACTAGCCCCACCTTACTCATTTTATTTTACGGGCATTTTGCAGTGAAAGTTGCGGGGAAGCCACTGGAGCTTTGAGGGATGAATCCCTCATGCCCTATTCGTGCAAAAACCGCTTCCATTATTCATATTTTGATGGTTCTTCACGGTTTAAGGAAGTAATGAATTCCTCATAGGCAACTCTCAAACACGATTTTGGAATACTGTTAAAACAGTCAGTTAGGAATTTCTGCTAGCATCGACGCCTCGTGACCTCGACGTGAACTCTACCTTTGTGGACGGGAGTCAGAGTGATGTCGTGGTCGAGGAATTGACCATATTGCATGACCATGAGGGCATATCGATTGTGAAGACGAGACACGTCGGCGTGGATGAACGTGGAGATGGCCCGAGGCGAGGGCAACGGTTGGCCTGACACCGATGTCGACCGCGGCCGACTGATCCCTGCAAAATAATCCCATTAATTCCACGAACGAACTCGTGAATCTAAGAAATTGACTATGAAACCCAATCGTTACTCCAGGACAACGATCGACAATATAAATGAATTTCTGTTCCTGATATTTCTGCGTCCGGTCTTGCCTCTTTTACTTCTTGGAACATTATACTGTCTCTGTTAACGCATGGATTCTGCTAAGCTCTACCACCAATCTTCCTCCCGAACAGTTACACCCCAGAAATAATTGATAGACGGATGAAATGGCAACGGAGTCCGTTCATGCGACGGTTTGTTCCAAGTGACACAACTCACCCATTCACCACCTTCCCATTGACGTCATTGATCGATGTCCGTGAGAATGCACGACAAATAATTATATAGCTCTCATACAATGTAAATTCTACTAGATCAAGATGTCCATTTTCGTGAACACCACAAATTTCAGATCGAAGGCACAGATGGTATGCCATGTCGATCTCTACTGTCGTGTGACATTTTGGATAACGTGGATAACGCCACGAGAAGTTTCCGAAAACGTGGACACGATGCGAGAGGTTTCTTTTCTTCCCTCACTTCATCGATTCGTTTCGTTTTCTTCCAGCCGAGAGATGTTTCCCCGAGTGGATTTTTTTCCGTTTTCCACTCACCGTCCTCGTACTTTGGCGCCAGGAGTCGATTGAAGGGCGTGAGATCCTTGCCGAAATGGGGTTTCCCCAGGTTGTTGCACCAGCCGGAGTAGGTGCGGAAGGGGCTTTTGGGGTCGCAGGGTCGGTTCTCCTCCCCGTCGGGACAGAAGGATGGCGGCTGGCGAGGGATCCGATCCCCCACGAAGATGTTGTTCAACTGGGGCCCGCTCGGGATGAAGTTGTTCACCTGACGCTTCTCTCTCCGACCCACTAGCACGACTTCTTCCCTGTTCTCCTTCCTGCGGACGAGCGTTTCTCGTTAGCGACCGTGCGAGACCGTCACTCGGTGGTGGTAATCGGTAATTCGAGAATTCGAGTCGCGATAGGCAAGCCACGGAGACGTCGTCTCCATCGGGCGTGATTCGACGTTTGATTGCTACCGGTCGTTATATCGAACGAAACGAGGACAAGTATGCCGCTCGAAAATGTTCTGTTCTACACTCTTAGAAAATTCCGAGCGTTTGGGGAGTAAAAAGTG